AGGTAGTGTTTGGATAGTGGAATTCATTTCAATTTTTGAATTTCAATTCTATAATTTGAAATTCCATAATTCAAATTCCATTTTGGTGTTTGGCAAACACAAGAAATTCAAAATTCATAATTTCAAATCCAAATGCTGTTTGGGAAATTCATAATTTCAATTCTAGAATTCAAATTCTGATGTTGTTTGGCAAGTACTAGAATTTCATTTCAAATCTTTAATGAATAAAATATTGTAAACATAATCTCAAATAACATAATGACCAATTGTTTCATAAACAAAATACATACTAATGTATTACAATTAGCAAAAGTATCAATTTGTAGTAAATATTTAATATTGCGTAGTTGTTCATAACTCGATCACTCTTCCAAACATAACAAAATCCAATCTAACTTCTCGTCTTCAGGCAATCCTTGAGCATTTGAAACTCATCTGGCATATTCATAAACTTCTAACAGCTTTCAACACTTGATAACAAAGTATGCCATCCACTTTTGAAACAACGTCATGGATTTCTTTCCCGCTTGCCTAATGCTCTATCCGATCCAAAGAGAATACAAATATCATCCCAATTATCTATAGTCTTATTTCTATAGGAGCTTGCTGGTGGATGACTCTGCATGAAAAAAAAAGTGTTAGGAAACCCTTTTTGGGCCACAAAGACAAGGGGCAATGTGTTGCACATGTCATTGGGCAAATAGCCACACTCCATTGCACTAGTTGCAGAGATATGCAAGTTCAATATATAAATATCTTGGGTTTAAATTATAAAAAAAGAGGATAAAGAATGGAAATCTCTTTGAAAAGGCCAACGCATCATATTTATCTTGTGTTGGAGTGTAATCATATATCCATTGTGCTAAAACCCAAAAAAGGAAACACAGAGGACATAATGCCATATTATAGGGAGTATAAGTTTTGGCTACTCTGTAAAAGCACAGAACTGTATATACTCCGTACAACATAATGGGTAGTAACAAAGCAACCCAGACTTGCCACAAAGTAAATACCCCGAGTAAACCCCAAATCTGATCACAAGGTATGGTTTTCATATGGGTTAGCTAAGACAAAAAAATACATGCACTGTAATAAAAACACTTTCTTTTTATCAAGTAGAAAAAAATACATGCACTGTAAACACTAATTCTGATTAAAGAACAAAATTTAAAAAAGTAATCCTCCAAGACCTTGTTGTCATTCTCCCTAAATGATAAGATCAAAGAACAACACATAATGCCTAGCCTATGTTGATATGCTACAAAGATCAAAAACCAAAACAAACTTCTAACATCCTATTACACAGTGGCGTAGTAAAGAAATAGCATGCTGCCATGTACCTAAATAATCTCAGACTTCACACATGCTTTGACAGACTCAAATATTACACAGTAAGTCTCTACTTGGGTTTTTGTTCCAGAGGGTTGCAATAGGTAAGGTTTTAGATTTTTTCTTGCTAAGCTTAGATCAGAAAATGGTGAGGAATTGTTGGTTGAAGATACCAGATTTTTTCAATTCTTGAATGAGATGGAAGCCCCGCTACTCAGACCATTCCCTAACTCTTGTTTAATATGGACATTTGCTGTTACCTGAACCCTGCTAAGTCTGAAACTTCAGTGGCAAAAACAGTTGTGGGTGTGGGCATCACAAAGGCTGGTTTTAAAGCTTCATCTTCACAAAAGCCTAATGCTGATCTTTTTCAAAAACAAGCCAAGTCTCTCATTCCATTGAGAGAACTAATCCACAGATTACAAATAGGGATGAAGATATTCGTTCCACTTCATGCACTAGTTTCACTGATCAGGTTTATCACAAAAGTACAAGTAATATCCGACAGTCTGGACTACCTCCACTGCAACGGTTTGGTCTAAATCATGAAACCAGATTCAAAACCATCGGAAAAATTTGATTTTGTGAATCGAAAAAAAATCAAACACAAATCGATGCACGTACACAGAAGAAGTAAGTCAACAATTCACATTCATTCATCATCCTCAACCTTGGACTTCTAGGAAACCATTGCTAGGGTTTAAAAAATGGTTTCTAGAGATACCTGGATCGGAGTTTTTGGAAGACAGAGGGATGAACGCGATTCAGACCTAGCCGCTCGAATACTCAGCTTGGACGGGATCTCGATCGGAGATGAAAGACGCAAACTGGACTACTGGAGAGGCGATGGACGAGAGGGATCGAAAGAGGCTATGGACGAGAATGAATGTCGACACTTAATTTTAACTGGGCTAGGGAATTGAAATGACATGGGTTTGGGTATGAATTTGTAATTGGATTGGTTATTAATGAGAGGAATTTGATTTAAATCCAAATTCAAATTCTTTGGGTTGCCAAACAAGGAATTTGAGCCAAATCCGGATTTGAAATCCAAATTCAGGTTCCCAAACAGGTCATTATACTTTTCTTATACTTGGGTATTATACGGAATAGTACATCCGAATGTACAATGTTTATTATACATATGTCGTATGCACATTTACAAATTAAACAATATTCATTTTTGAAAAAAGACTAAATTAAAAGTAAAATACAGAGAAAATATTTAAATATAAGTTTTATGTTTTTTCCCTAAAATACTAGTCACAATGTCAATTATGTTAGTATATAGTATCAAAAAAATACTATGAAATGCTAATATATAACGTCCATTGTCACACTACAAACTTCTATTTTGAGGATAAAAATGAAATTAAATAATTATTCCAGTATATTAAAAAATATTGAAGATAAATAAAAATAAGTGCAAGAAACACAAATACCAATGGAAACCATTCTTAATATTCTTAATACAAGTTCCAATAACAACAGATCAGATAGAACCCCCCCAAAACAAAAACTCTAATGATGAAATGAGAAATCTAATCATCAACTTGTGATGTGCATTTCCATCTCCAAGAACTTTTAGTATTAACAATACTGTAAGCTATGAACATTTGAAGATTTAGGGGTAATGCAGCTATGCAAGTGTGCATTGACAGGTTTATAAGGTTCAGTTTGGCTGAAAACTTCTTCTGAGATATTCAGATAACTTGGCGCCAGCTGCCCGCCCCCGCTTCACACAGCGCATGTAATCCTCCACTGCATTTCAGAAACAAGACGCCATACGTGGATTTAATCACGTAGTATTAAAGGACTTTCAGACAAAAAGAGTGACTATGACCATGTTCTTTTCAAATTTCTATTCCAGATTTCCAGTTATCCAAACACCAGTACCAGGTTGAGAGTTCCACACTCCAGTTTCCAGTTTCTAACTTGAAATTTTCTTTGGTTTTATAACATAAGAGTATCCAATCTAGGTTCGAGGCTCCAATTAGTTTTGGGTTTAAAACTAGTAGTTCCAACCCGAACCCAAGATGCGTTGGGTCTACCACTCTACTATTGGTGTTACTAGATGTGGACCCGTTAGGGTCTTAGTCGGGTTGGGCCCGAATCCAGGTCTAGGGTGCTCAAAGTTTTATATTTAATCTTTAAATCTCAACTTATATTTAGATTACGAAGTTCTAATATATTTACACTATGTTTGGTCCAAAGGAATTTGGTAGAGAAAAGAAAAGAACATGATATGGAAAATTTTTCTTGTTTGGTTGAAGAGGAAATGAAACGTAAAAGGAATATAAACTAAAAAGAAAAAATAGGCTAAAAGGGGGAAACCAACTTTCTTTCCAACTCCATGACAAAAAAGGGAGACATTTTTCCTTTCATTTTGTTCTTATTTCCTCGAACCAAAGATAGAGTTAATGTTTTAGTGTGATTATAAATCTCAACTTTCAACTAAAACACTTTGAAGTCTGATTACATTATTTTTTTCAATAATCTCCCATTAACAAAATTAAAAATCATCCAGAACAAGGTGTTCCAAACCCAAACCCGAACCTACTTTAAAAATTTTAAACGAGTTCAGGTCTGGATCGGGTAAACAAAATTAAGTCGCCCTATACCCGCAAAATAACTAACGGATCCGGGTCAGAACTTGGTCCAAACCAGACTAATCGACAAGCCTAGTTTCACTTTAAAATTAAAGTAATTTAAAATTGAAGTAAAAAAGAACATGGCCTATGTGTGGATAGAGGGAACTTACCTTCCAATGTGCCATGTGCAACAGATGTTATGATCCCACATTCCAACGGTTCATCTCCCGCCTTTGATGATTCTTCTTCTTTGGGGATGACTGAGTGAAGGGTGTTTGGGAAGACTAGATGCACAGATGCCTTCATTTTCTGCCATTGTGTTAAAAAACACTTGAATGTTATGAATTACTACGTATGATCAGTGAATAAGGGTACATTTTCTTGAGTTAGCAATACAGAACTTCATATCACCATCAAATATTTTAAATATTGAAACGATTTCTTTTCTTCACACACAAATTTTCCTACTCCTTCTGCCGATAAACTGTATTCATTTTCCTTCTATAAACGTCCCAAAAAATAATTCTCACTTTCTTTTTCTACTAATGAACACATGGCTTGCAAAACTTCTCTCATCTAAACAAATTCTAACCATACACTTCATTTTTCAATACTTCTCTTGAACTCCATAAAAATTAAATGAGTACAGTTTTTTAGAAACGGAGGGAGTATATTTTTAAGATTTACAGTTTTACCTCATGTGTAGTTTGTTTTATCTTTTTAAGAAATAAATATATGACCTCCCTCTCATCAAAATCTTCCTATTTTGATTTTCATGTCCACTTCTTTAAAAGGAAATAAAGTAGCAAGTTTTTTTGGGACATCCAAAAGGGAAAAGTTTGATTTTTTTTGTGGTATGGAGGGAATATGTTTTTCAAAGTTTTCGTGCTTTGGTGCCACCTAGCACCACATGAAAACAAAAGGGGGTAAATTGAGAGTATACCTGCTCTTCTGACTTGTCAGGGTCAAGTAGAACATATTTACTCTCTCCCAAGCAGCAACAAATTGCAACTGCATGAAATCCCACAGTGGTAGATTTAGTAACTCTCTTATATACAACAATAACTACAAATACAGTAAGATCCCACAAAAAAGTATGGAGACTTTACCCCTACTTGGGAATAGAGATATTGTTTCCAAATAACAACATTTCAAATGACTGGATTAGAAAGAAATATCATATGGGGGAATGGCAGTTGTAAAAAAATACCAGCAAGGTGCTTCATAGGAATTCCGGCATCTACAAGAGCAGCACACGCTGCATTAATAGCACATGGGAGAAGCTTTACAATGCCTCTATTAAGGAAGTTTTCAAGTCAACTTTCTCAAGATTCAAGAAAATAAAAGAAGTCCTCGATAGATTGTACTCATACAAAGTCTTCAATGTTAAATGATGCAATATTTTAGCGGGAAAATGTGACTTGTTTAGCTTATGCTTATAAGCTAAACAAGTCATAATCTACTTATAATAAGCCTATAAGGAGTAAAACTGAATGTGGTTAATAAACAGAGCCCAAGTATTCTTGACTAAGTTTGACTTAGTTGGGTGAAATGAGTGTTACCAAAAACCTCTCCTCTGGGGAAAAAATCAGAAGATTCAGTTATTTCATCCAAATGGTAGTGCATAAAATGTTTTCATCACAAAGGATACAGCTCCATCATCATTGACAACCTGCATAATAAGATGAAGATGTGGTTGGAGTTGAAAACATACATTGGGGCGAGCATAGGACGAATAGACATAGAAAAAAGTCCTTTTTGTGTAAGGGCACGGAACTAAGATATTAGAGCATAAAGATAATATCTCTTGCTCCCTTCATCCCACTATTTTTGTCCCATCTTAGCTTTTTTGTTCGTCCCACTATTTGTGTCTCATACCATATTTGGTAGCATTTGTGTGGCTCGCATCCTTTCTTACATTTTAATATCAATATCAACCAATTTTGACTTTCCTTAATATGTGTGCCACTACTTTTGTCCCAAAATAGTGGAGCAATTGTCATTGACATTCTCTGATGCATTCATAGGGAAGCCATAATAGGAGTGTATAATATTTAAATAATAGGGGACCCATCATCATCACAGATACATTCATACGGCTACTAAGTGTTATCGGCAACGATTTCCTCTAGAGCATTAGACTATCTGAGCGCTCACCTGAATTATTACTGATGTTGTAGTGTTTGGATGAACAGTCAAAAGGCAAATGCTCTGCAATGTCCTCCTCACTATCATCTCATTCTCCTTTTCCTGCTTCCCTATTTTTAACAGGTTTTGTCGCAAGCTTAAGGAAAGAGAAAAATATCCACATCTATTTATTAAAAAAACAAAAAACCAACATGTACTCAAATTCCTACTCCCCTTAGACCTTATAAGAGAAAATTGGCAAAATGACAGAACAAAAAAACCACACAAATTAATGCAAAGGAACCCTTAACGCACACACAAAATGGTATAATTATAATATAGCTGGAGAAAGTTCAACTTGCACTAGGTATTTTCATAAAAAATGACAATTGCTTGGGTGAGAAACTTGAGTTTTGCTTTATATTTTTGGTCAAGTCCATCGACATACAATGTTTTACAAGTCATGAATATTTACTTATACCCCCTAAAAGCATGTATTTTACTTAAAAATGAAAGCTCTTTCAAAGCTGGACTTTTTTTTTAAGCCAGAGAGAGAGTAATTGCTAAGTAGCATTCAAAATAACAACACTGGATTGTAAGAGAGGCTTCAATAATTCAGAATGTATACCTATTTGTCCAGTTTTGGGCTTCCAGATGACCTCAATACAAGCCTTTTCAGGGTTTTCATTCTTCTTCGTACCGGCCTTCGGTCCATAGACAGCAGCCAGAACTTTGGTCTCTCCTAAAGCACTCCAAACCCATTAACACTTCCCAAATTCAGAAATGGCCAGGGAATAGAATTTNGGGGCGGGGTGATAAATAAAAAACAATCTTGGAGCAAGTAAAGAAGACAGGGAAAGGTTTGGAGTTTGAAATATAAACCTTGTGACCAGCTGGCGGAGCCATGGGCGCGGTTGAGGACGCCGCGGGAGCACGACAGCGGTCTGATCTGGTTCGCCGTCCGGCCATCGGCTCTGTCAATCTCCATTCCCATCGAGAAGATGACTAAGACTCTGTAATTAGAGCTCTCCGGCTTCCGGTGCTCTGTCGCCGGCGACGATGCTTCGCGTCCGGGATTCGCCTTGCTGCAACAGGGTAAGGCTGAAGCTCCGAGTGAACGAGGGAAGAGGCGACAGCCGCTATTTAGATGTGATTGGGCCTTGGTGGTGGACGGGTATAGTCTCCCATTTTTGGGCCTATAGCTCCCCCCCCCCCCCATTTTTCAAAATATTCCGTCTAAATTTTTTACGCACCTCATAAAAGAGTTACAATCCATCTAAACTATCTAAAATACTCTTAAAATAATTACTATTCATAATAAATTGCGAATAAAACCAAAGTATTTTGTGAAACGAAAGGAATAAGGAGTATTAATTTTACACCAACACCTATTTATTTATTTCATATTAAATACGGAGTATTTCATATTTTTAACTTGTGAAGCACAAAGTCTACACAAATATTGTTTACTAATTAAATAAAATTATCGTGTATTAATATAAAAATTGAGAAAAAAATTAAAGTATAAATAAAACATTAAAAATATACGAGTTTCAAGTTTTTATTCTCAAAATAGAGTAAAGATTTCTTATAAAAATAATTATACTTTATTTATCCATGAATATTTCTCTAAAAATTATTTTATTATTTTTTTCGTCTAAAATAAGGTTGCTCATTTGATTTGACATAAAATTTAAAATAATTAAAACTCTATGGTGCATTCAAAAAAAAAAAAAACTCTATGGTTGAAAGTAATACACAAGACAAAAACATTGCAAGTCTTAAATAATTTTCTAAAACAAAAATGAGAAATCTTTTTTGAGGAAATCCCAAGAAATGAAATAACAAATCTTTTTTTGATTATATTACTCCCATCAATGAAATAACAAATTTAATTCTCTCTTTACCCACCCACCGCCCACCCTCATTTTTCATTTTCTCACTGTTTTTTGTCCTAATTTTTTTTCTTCCTGGCAAGAAAAAATTGCATCCATAGCCGCCTCAAATCTTCTCTCACAGGTATCTGAATTTCTACATGCACTTATCATGCATTTGGATTAATAATTGGTAAGGCACTGTTTCAAAAAAAACTTGAAGAAAAAATATTCTTGAAAAAATTTGAGTGAAAATGGAAAGTCTCACATTTTCAGATTAATCAGCTTCCCAAACGCTGCTTAAACTAATGCCTGATCTGTTTCAAGAATTTATTATTGTATCATTGAAAGAATTTCGTTGGTGGGTCAGTTTCCCTTTTCCATTTTATGTTCCAATTTACTGGATTAGGCGCATTTATTTATTTATTTATTTATTTACAAGTATTAATTTTGAGAATTTGGGTTTCTTGATTTATACTCTGCTTGCCCAACTGTGTGTGATTCTTGGGTTTTATCAGTGTTGCTAATTTTTATCATGGTGATTTTTGGTGTGAATTATGTAAGAATTTGGCTTGATAACCTTTATGGTAAGATATTGGGCATGTTAGAATTGTTCAAATCTACAAAAACAAGAAATCCAGTAAATTAATTAGCTTCTGAAATACTCTATGATTTCATTCCTTTAACCATGGATCACAATTTGCTTTTGAAATTTACCTGGGTAGATTTGAAAAGTGAGAAAAAAATCTGATCTTTAAAGTGAAATGTTTTCCAGGGATAGCAGTGCCCATCCATCATCAGGATGGGTCTTTTGGAGAGTAGAAAACTAATATGGATTTCATCATTGGTTTTCTGTATGGTTATAATGGTTCAACTTTTCATCCACCCATATGGTTATTTTCCCTCTTTGTTCTCGCCCACAAAGGGTCAATCATCATCATCGTCATCATCATCACATGGAAGCTTCCAAGTGGGAAGTTCAACTGGAAAGGATGGAGATGTTAAAGATTCTTCAGATGGTGTTGACCCCGAGAGTGAATTGCCATCCAAGGACTTAGATTTACTAATTACCAATTTGTCGACAGTAATGAATCCGGAAACGAATGATACGGTGGGATCAGATATGAGGTATGGAAATATATCATCAAAAGATAGCGACAGTGGAGGGTATAATGGTCCATGGATGGAGAGAAATGGGACGAAAGACACTACTCCGGCTACTCCCTACGTTGTGTCTCCTCCATCTGATGTTCATGAAAATACTTCTCTTAGCACAGTTAAGAACAATGAAAAGCAAGGGCCATCGGAGAGCCGCACTACTTCCACAGTCAACCATTCTCCCATTCCAGCTGCGAAGGGTAGGATTGGAAAGAAGGAAAACCGGGCTGCGGTGTCGATAGCTGAAATGAATGCCATGCTACAAAAAAGTCTCACTTCATTTCGTTCGGCGGTATGAGTGAAGAAGTGATTTAATTTCTGCATGTTGTTAGAGTATAAAATCATTCTTGGTAGTAGCCTTGGTTACCAAGAGGTCAAGAGTTCGAACCTCATTGCCACCCACTTTTAGAGAATTAATCTCACTCGCATTGCTATTTGTAAAAAACAAATCTTGCTTGCACGCGAGGGTTGTGTTAGACTATAAAATCATTCCTGGGACTTCAAACACTAGTCTGAGCTTTTGGTTGGGTTGGTTTTTAACACATGTTATTCTTAAATACTTTTGAGTTTTTCTTTTTTAACTTTTTAATTCTATTTTTTTACTGTGGTTAGAAACCGCGTTGGTCATCACGAGCAGATCAAGACCTTGTACGTGTAAAAGCTCTGATCGAGGATGCACCAGTAGTAGGCGATGCACCTGGTTTATATGCTCCTTTGTATAGAAACTTTTCCATGTTCAAAAGGCAAGTGTCAATTCTTTTTTTTTCTTTTTTTTTAAATATGGTGCCTACTTGATTGAGCTAATAAATTTCATTCAACTTCAAGAAATGGACCGAACATGCATCTTATGTAAACCATAAGTTTGATAGTCTTCTTGAGAAATCGTGCCAAAAAAATGCATGTTTGTGGTTGGTGTTATACCACGTTGGCTAAATATGAACAAACGAACCCCTTTTAATGTCTATATTGTCATTTTATGACATTGCTAAAGAACATAGTTTTTAAAAGAGATTTCATTGAATGTATGGGTGTAGGAGTTATGAACTGATGGAGCAGACTTTGAAGGTCTACATATACTCGGAAGGAAAAAGGCCGATATTCCACACACCAATTCTCAAAGGAATATATGCTTCTGAGGGATGGTTCATGAAGTTGCTGAAATCAAACAGACAATTCGTCACGAAAAACGCAAAGAGGGCACACTTGTTTTATCTGCCTTTCAGTTCGCGGATGCTGGAGGAAACTCTGTATGTCTCTGATTCTCACGACCGTAAACCGCTGGTCAAATGTTTGACCGATTACCTTAGTATGATCATTCAAAGACACCGTTTTTGGAACAGAACTGCCGGGGCTGACCATTTTCTTGTTGCCTGCCATGACTGGGTATGTCTTCGACTTCTTTAGTTTATAGTTCTTGGTGAAATGACATGTCAAAAAGTAGGGTCACAACAGTGGTCATGTTAGGGTCACAACAGGTTTGACACCAAGAGTTTGACGCCAAGTGTTGCACAGACACAGATACAGAAGACTGTCTGTCCGTGTACACTTAGTTGTCGAACTCTTGGTGTCAAACTTGGCGGGTTTCTAACATTTTTGTTTTTTTTTACAGGCCCCTTCGGAGACAAAGCAGCTTATGGGGAATTGCATAAGAGCATTGTGCAATGCAGATGTCAAAGAAGGTTTCCAGTTTGGGAAAGATGCATCTCTCCCAGAAACATATGTGAAATCACCAAAGAACCCCCTCAGGGAAATCGGCGGCAAGTCTCTTTCCCGGCGGCAAAACCTCGCCTTCTTTGCCAGGAACATGCACGGTTACCTCCGCCCCATTCTCTTGCGACACTGGGAGAACAAAGATCCCGCCATCAAAATCTTCGGCCCCATTGCTAAGGCCGCATACATCAACCATATGAAGAGCTCCAAGTTCTGCATTTGTGCAAAGGGGTACTACTCATCAACCTATGAATTACTACCCCACGGTTCTTTTGACTCGGCATCCCAGACTCCCAGTGTCATAATATGACACGAGTTCATTTGAGGCCTGTGAAATCGTTCTTACCCCCTAATCCCCCCTCGAACCCCACCCTTAGCCCGTTCCTTGCCATCCGCCTATCAAATTCTGATAGTGGATTGTCACCCTAAGGGAGGAGGGCTAGAGGATAAGAATCACTTTGGAGGTGAACATAACGCCTCAAATGGGTTGGTGTCATATTATGACATTGTGATCTAATGTCAAAAGAACCCTTGTACGTGGCCTGCTTATTCTTATGGGCGCGGTTCCGTTGACACCGCACTGCAGCGCCACTGAGATCTTGGGGTACCTACTATTAGAGTGCATCCCACATCGGAAGTCCAAGAGTAAAATAATCAGTATATAAGACATTTGGGTTGAACCACATTAAAAGATTGATTTATGGGGTTTATCAACAGGTACGAAGTGAACAGCCCACGCGTGGTGGAGGCGATCTTCTACGAATGCGTACCAGTGATCATATCGGACAATTTCGTCCCCCCGTTTTTCGAGACGTTAGACTGGGAATCTTTCTCGGTTTTCATCCCGGAGAAGAACATTCCGGAGCTTAAGACCATACTCACGTCAATCCCGGACAAGAGATACCGGGAGATGCAACGAAGGGTCAAGATCGTACAACAACACTTCCTATGGCACCCTAAGCCCGTGAGGTTCGACGTTTTTCACATGATACTTCATTCGGTGTGGCACAACAGAGTTTTTGGAATCGCAACAACCAGGTGACACAAATGTTGGTGTGATTATAGATGTATGTATTGTAGTGTCTGTGTGCAGAGGTTCATCAGATTTTCCAGTGGAACAAAAGTTTGTAACTTACCATGTTGTATTTTGATGATCTAGTTTTTTTTTGTCCCTGTAAATACAAGTAGAGAATAAGTTGTGGTACGGTAAAAAAGAGTTACCATTTGTTAGTGTAAAATGTTTTTATTGTTTCGCCTAGATTTAACAATAATTTAATGAATAATTGCTTAAACATTGTAATGTACTACTATACTCCCTCCGTCTCATAACAAACGGCACAATTATTATTTATGTATGTATTTTCATTGATTATTTAATAAAATAAAATAATCATGTCACTTTTGGCTTTGTAGAACTTTTGGCATTATTTTTAAATACGTAAATTTCATTTTTAATTTTAAATCTAATTTCAAAATAAAATGATTTTGAAATGCGTAGGATTTTACCTCGTAATCTAGACTGTGTCTTTAGTCATTGAACCAACAAAGTACTTACTTCCTCTCACACTTTATTTGTTAATAGGCAACAAAGATGTCGTCATTTTTTGGGAATAATGTTCAGTAATGATAGACATTTAGTTTGAATAATGTCCGATGGTGCTGGACATTTACTTGTATAATGACCAATGGTCAATGACCAATGTCACTACATTAGAAAATTAAAATATATAATACTCGTACTACATTGGGAAAGTCATTATGCTTTAGTACTATTTAGATAAATTTTCTTTTTAAAAACCACAAAATGAAAAAAGGAATCCCTCAAAGATTTGCTTGTTATATTTGGCAATTAAGCACTTCCTTAATTTCTGCGCATGCCTAAAGGCCAAAACACAATGTAACGGTAAAGAGTTAAATACTCTCTCCCAACTCAAATAAAATTCTCACACTTCTTTTCTTACATTTGTTGAAAAATAAATTTTTTTATATCTATTTTTTTCATAAAAATTTATTAATGAGTGGTTGATAATATATTTTTATTTTAACTTTGTGAAGTCCAATTAAAATTTTTATTTAAAGACAGGAGGGAGTGTAAGATTTACCATCATGAATCAAATGCAAGCAGTTAAAACCTGAAAAACCACCCCTTTCCTTTTATGTACTTTTCAACCTAACTTCACCATTTATCCATCTTTTTTAAAATTAAAAAAAAAGAGAAAGAAAAAGAAAAAGAAACTCTGCACAAATACACATAAAAAGAAATCCAAAGACAGGCAAGAAATGGTGGTGCACCTGATCTTGTCAACAAGGGTTTGATCAGCTCAGAACAGATTGTTTAGTATGGCCACAGAGACCAAATCCAGTGTGGTGAGGCTCAAACCCAGCTATGGTGGGGATGCTTCTGCATCATCATCATCAGTGATCAAGAAGAGATCTGTGGAGATTGCTCCTCCTAAGCTCTCTGCTGAAGCAAAGGGTAAAGCAATTGCCAAAACTGAGGTACCCTTTTTCTTGATTTGGCCAAAGATTGATTCTTTTTCTCCTTTTCTTGATCTGGGTATTCATTGAATTGCTTGTTTTGGAGAATCAATGGCTTTTCTTGGCTAGATTTGCTTGGTTTTGGATGGATCATCAATGAATTGCATTGCTCTGGTTTTCATTTATTGATTCAATTGTTCTTTTGGGGGGTTTCTTCACAATTTAATTGGGCATTTATGGAATTTCTTGATTTGGAAATTCCATGGTTCTTCTTGGTTTGTTTCTCCTTATTATTCGAAAAATCTTCAATGAATTGCATTGCCCATATTTTTATTATTATGTGCAGTATTTGTTTTTTGGAAAGTTCATATCAATACTTCCAGAAATTTGAGATCTCAGCAGTTAAATATTTTTACAATAGTACTTCATGAATATTTTACTGCACATGGATCCCCATTTTTCATGTATATCTCTGTTCAATTTGTAATCTTGGTTGTAAAAATATTTATATTCTGGGAGCGCCAATGGTAAATATGTAATTTTTGGAGTATTCTTGACTTCTTGTAAAATCTCAATTTTTTGGGAGCATTGGTGTGAATTTTTCCTCTTTGTTTGAGGGGACAATTTCATTTGGGAATTGGGATTGGATTGTTGATGTAGCATCATTTGAATCAACATTCTTTTTTTTCTAGATGAATCATTAATTATCAATCACAAATCCTTTTATCCTTGTTCTAAGTGCATTGTCACTAATGATAAAGCCATTTGTGTTACCTTAAACCTGTTACATGAAATCTGTCTACCTTAAGATTATCACCTCAGAATTTTTTCTGAAAACAATGTCATTTATTTGCTCTTATGAATCTAATGTGAGTGTTTTACTGTTGATGTGAAGGTAAATGCAAAAACAACCTCAAATTCATCGAAGGCTGTAACAAAAACTGTAACTAGAACCAGACAGAAGAAAGATTATTCTTTGCCAGGACAAAAATTCGATGTTCCTGAAGAGGTTGGATATATCCTTCCATTGTCTGGTTGTATATACACACACACACACATGCATACACACACACACACACACATATGTACACACACACACACAGACATACATACATATGAATTGGCTTTAAAAAAACCAATGCCTAATTATGTTCCATATCTCTTCGTCTGTAACAGCGGGAGCCATTGAGATTGTTCTACGAGTCATTGTCGAAGCAGATTCCTTCGAGCCAAATGGCAGAGTTTTGGTGAGCATAAAAATCTTTCCCAAGCTTACAAATAACTTACAAGTTGCAACCACAAGCTTGAGCTTTTGATTGATTTGGTTTCTGAACTCTGAGTTACGATTTTCCTAATATGCAATTTCACTATGTGGAGACTATAAAACAATCATCTTTTATACATGGAACATGTAGTGCAATTGGGATACTTTAATTTATAGCTACCTATTCTTAGTTAATATGGAGTGCTTGCAGGTTGATGGAACACGGGTTGTTGTCGCCCGAGAGGGCAAAAAGGGCATTTGAAAAAAAACATAGGAAGCAAAAGCAAGTCAAGACAGGAACTCCAACAAAACCTCCGCCGCGGCCAGTAACTCCAGCAAAGCCTCCATCGCGGCCATTACCTGTCGCGAGCTCAAAGAAACCTCAACAGGCCCAGAAAAATGGTGAAACGAATGCAAATAATAATAAACGTGTAAAAAGCGAAAAGGACGAGGACGATGATGATGATGATGATGATAATGTTATTCTGAGCCAAAGAAGGAGAAAAGGGTAAGAAAATGTAATCCTAAAAAGAAATTTTATAGTTCTTGAGATTGTGTTGTGTTTAATTGTGTTGTAACATGAAACAATATAAGCATCAAATTCATAGAAAATGACACAATAAATGCATATTGTGAGCTGTTCAAATTCAGCTAAAGGATAACTTCCATTATGCAATTTTATACCTCAAGTCTTAATCAAGAATTAACTCAATTAAGTGAAAGGATGTTTGTTTTATGGTTTTACCAACAGTTTTACCAACTTTTGTGTTTAGTTTGCCAAAGTCAAACCCTAAGGGGTTAGCATAAGAAAAAAGCTTGTGAAAATTACATTTAAAAAAGGTGCTCCTTATTTAAACAAACTCAAACTCAACAAGCGAAGTATTTTAGAAGAGGAAGAAATATCAATTGGCTAGACACATACATGGCCTCATAAAAAGTGTTGTGTAGCAAGTGTAGTTGATTGTAAATGTAGACTACAAACTATATTTACAAATTTAGTGCAAAGTTTGAAAGACTAATCGTGCATAGTACATTAACTTGAAGTACTAACTGTATAGTTTAGTTATTTAATTTTAACTACGGTATGAAATTTGAATATTGGAATCTAAAAATTGGAGTCTGTCCTCGTCTTCAAACACTCTTGTTTAAGATCATGTCCTAAGCACTGAGTACTTAATATTCCCTTCATCCGAAAATCTTCTTCTCATTTAACTTTTCACGGTCTTCAATATTGCACTTTGACCATTAATATTCATATTTATACATAGAGATATTTTTAAAAATTTGATATTTCAAAACTACGTTTCGTTAGGAATTGATATGAAATTTATATCATAATACAATGTATTTCTCTCTCAAATTAAAGTTAAAGTTTACAAACTTTGATAAAAAAAAGTCAAATGTAAAGAATATTTTCGGATGTAGTGAGTTGCTAAGCTCCTACAAAATTAGGGACTTGTACGGAGTACGTACGGACACTGCAGCCTCAAGGTCGGCCTTGACAACTACCAAAGAGGTGTGGTTAGAGTTAGACAGATGCACTGATCTATCTGATCCCCAAGGGTCACATATTTTTGGGCATGGGTCCCAAACTAATTAGAAAAATGCTAGGGGTACACCAAAGGTGTACTCCAAATATTCCCCACCTCCTCCTTGTCCACTAAAAAAGGTAAAAAAATTCAAAAAAAATAAGTAAATAAAAATCAAATAAAAATGTGTGGAGAAAAAGAAGGTGGTATACATTTGGGGTACACCTTTTGGTGTACCCCTAGCATTACTCAACTAATTAACTCTTATAATGTCCTTATTTTAAGTAATACCCTCTCTAAATATAATTATTGGTGAGAGACATTGTTTTGTCCATATGAACATCTCAACTGGTCTCAGAGTAGGACTTTAGAACTAGAGATCAATGGTCGAGCCTCACTGGCGATAGTGTGGAAGCAAACTCTCAGAGAATGAAGGGGGCTCCTTGTGCACAGTGAATACAGGTCTCAATTTCTGTTGTCGGTTGACTCGTCATGATTTATCTTCTCTCATAATTCCATCGGGCTGGTGTGGGGGAGGGGGGAGGGGCGCTTGGGGTTAGCAATTTCACCTATGGGAAGAAGTGAATGGAGAAAAGCGTTTAAAAAATAGTCTTAATAGTACAAAAAGAATTTTATTTTAGAAATCATCCTAAATAGGACTAAAACACAGAGAAAAGTACCAAAATAGGACTTTCATGTTTTTTTCCCGGAATAGGACTTTGCACTGTGGTAATGTGACTTTGCATTGTGGTAATGTGGCAGTGTACATGTGCAAATTACTATACTTTTTTGGTAATGTATATGACCATGTTTGGTAATGTAAGTCCTATTTCGGTAATAAAAACATGGAAGCCGTATTTTGGTATATTTTCAATGTTTTAGTCCTACTTTGGTCTTTCTCATTTTATTTCTCAAAAAATTTAAAATTTGAAATCTTTTGTGTTCATTATAATCTACCTAATTAAACGTACTCACTAGTCCGAAGTATATTTTAATTAATTTTATAAAAATACGGCATAATTTTAAATATTATTATTATTATTATTATTATTATTATTATTATTATTATTATTATTATTATATTATTATTATTATTATTATTATTATTATTATTATTATTATTATTATTACCACGGCTTCTTTGACACCACATTTGAGTGTCATAATATGACACTAATAGGTTTTTGCGGTATTCGATCAGGGAACAACTGCTGGGATGCCCTCCCGGTCCCACACTAAAAGAAAAAGGAAGAAAGAATAAAAATACTTCATTCCTCCTATATCTTTCTTCCCGTTGCGCAAAACGAAGAAAAATTCTAAGTTTTTTCAATCTATTTTATTTAAATATTGGTATAGAAATAAAAAATAAAACATACATATTTAAAAACTACATCAAAAGTTCAACAAAACAAGTGGTGACAAGAATATTTTATTTTATCATATACGCCATGAAAAAACACAAATAAATATAAATTCCCGTGAAGTTGGAATAGTAATCTGGGAAGAAAGTTTTAGGACGGAGGGAGTATATAGGTTCAACCCAACATTTAGTAAGAGGCCTTTTGGAGTTGTCCAAAAACAAATTCGTGAGGATTTGGTTTAGATCAAACAATATCATACTAATGCAGCGTTAGGATGAGCGTACACACGATTGCAAGATGTGGTATGAGTGCCGGTTTTTGTGTAGGCGTGAGCGACAGACTACGCAGTATGAAAAAATCTCAATGTGCCTATATATTTATAGGACCAAGATAAAAAAGGGGATCCATTAGTATGAGGCCCTATTGAGAGGTTCCCAAAAATAAATCTGTGAGGAATAACCTATAGCGGATGATATCATAATAAAGCGGGATAGGGGTCGGGGGAGTGTTCAAGCAATCGCAACATGTGGTATCAAGGCCTTAGTTTGTACGGACGGGAGCGACGAACTGTGCAATGTGAAAACACTATCGGTGTGACAATGTAATAACAACATGACCAATTCAAGACCAAAAGGGGTTTACATGTGATACCTTGTGTTAAAAATCTTCCTGGCAAAAGGTCGGGCGACGTGTCTCGTGAAAGGTGTAGCGACAGTGTAAGATGGTTAGTAGAAAAAAATAAATTACTGCTGGAGAGGAGATCAAAAGTTGTGTGTCCCTGGTTTGAGGAGAGGTTTGTTGGAATGTCCTCACACTCGATCCCACATCGAAAGAAAAGGGAGAAAGAAAAAACATATAGATTCGATCAATCCAACTCATTTGTATGAAGTCTTTTCAAAGATAGTCAGAAACAAATTAGTGAAGATTTTCCAAAATAGACAATATCATACTAATTAATGCGGGGTTGAAGTGAAGGTAGGAACGGTCCCAACACCAGGTTCTACCGGCTAAAATCCCCCCCCCCCCCCAACACCAACTGCATGCCTACCCCTACCCAGCAGGACTCCTTAATTTTATGTACCTTGCATAGGGGAGGTTTGTTGGGATGTCCTCGCAGTCCCACATCGAAAGAAAAAGGGAGAAAAAACCAAAATATATAGGTTCGATCAATCCAACCCATTAGCATGAGGCCTTTTGAAAGGTGGTCAAAAACAAATTTGCAAGAACTTGACCAGAAGAGACAATATCATACTAACTAATGTGTGATTGGGGTGAAGGTAGACGTGATACCAACACCAGGCTCTACCGGCTATAACAAAGTCTTGTATTTTACCTTAAACTGCAAAGAGAAAATGGGAATCAAGTTCAACTTTAATTTAACTCTTTATACTTTTTTCAACTTCTTCCCGTATCTTCTAATAACAATTTGATCCATGGTGGACCTTGGATCCATGACAGAATTTGCCCTCTAACAAAAAAGAGTTTCTTGGACTATAATTTAATTTTATCCGTTCTTCTAATGATTATATCAAATTTTTAATTCATTTTTCTTTTCAAAGAATTGGTTTGTGATTAAGATTATTTAGATAATAGATTTGTGACATATAATTATTATTGTGAGACCTAGGATCAATATAATTCAATTTAAAGCACATGACCAATTAAAATGGGAAGACAATAATAATGGAGGTATACTTTTGAATTTTCTCCAACTAATATAATACTCCGTACTAATGATTTGATTTGATTTGGGAGTTAATGGAAGCGATGTAATTAAAAATATTGGTTGAGAGATAATCATATACAAATCATCCTAAATAGGACTAAAACATAGAGAAAAGTACCAAAATAGGACTTTCATGTTTTTTTTACTTTGCATTGTGGTAATGTGACTTTGCATTGTGGTAATGTGGCAGTATACATGTGCAAATTACTATACTTTCTTGATAATGTATATGACCATGTTTGGTAATGTAAGTCCTATTTCGGGAATAAAAATATGGAAGTCCTATTTTGGTATATCTTCAATGTTTTAGTCCTACTTTGGTCTTTCTCACATAATCATACATACTAGTAGTTTTCAAAACCCAAAAGTAACGTGAACCTTGATAAATCAAACAAAAAAATCGGCAAAGTTTATATCTATTTGTTCAAGTTGGTTCTTTTCATTTGATTTTGTATTCAACATTTTTTAACTTTGATCATAAATTATAGAAAAATACATTAGAATAAAACTTAAACTTATATCAATTATTTCATTTTGAAATAGAGTCTGAATTACCATATGTATATAATATACTTATATCAATTATTTCATTTTGAAATAGAGTCTCAATTACCATATGTTTACAATCTCCCATATTTTTAGGAACGGGGAGTATATAGACACTTCTTCTTTATTTTTTTCTATTGTAATTTATTTTGCATATAAATGTGATTATAGTATATACTGCAATAATTGTTATTAATCATCACTCTTCTTTCTAAATTTAAGGTCCAATTTGATCTTTTCTCCATTCCAGAAGTTTTAACCTTTTGCAATCAGCTAGGCCGATCTTTGACATATAATGAAATACTACGTAAAAATTACATGGTATAATAAATAACCACACAAAATAATATTTTGAAAATATTATATAAGATAAATGTAATAAAATTATTATTGTATCAATATCTAATAAAAACTTTATTTAAGTAATAATCGATATGTATAAATTTTAATAGTAAAAAATCACAATGGGGAGAAATACTCTAGTATAGAAGTAGTATAAGTTTAAGCATATAGGCTCGACATTTGGAAAAAGATTGTCAAAACACTAATAACCAACATTGGCATCTTTTAGTCTTGAGTATGTTGAATTATTGAAGAAAATAATAAAAATTGAAATCTTACATGTAGAGTCTAGACTCTTAAATTAGATTTTAATATTTTAATTCTCAAACTTGAAAGAATTAAGTAAACGGGAACAAATGTCCATATAAATAATAGAGCCGGTCTGGAATTGTGAAAAAATTAGATTGGTTCTGTGCAAAATTTACGTGTTGGACTCTATTTTATTTTTTTCAGAGTACGTGTGCTTTAAAATTAGTATTGAATTTACTTTTTAGTAATCACTTTTATAACAATTTGAACATTAAAATATAAATTTATACTAAAATTTAAAATAACAAGCAAAACAGCCACTTAAATAAGAATGGAGAGAATATGTATGTATCTCTTACAAACATACTCCATATATATATATATATATATATATATATATATTATCATTTGTATATAAAACAATGTGTAATTTGAGATACCTCTATCATTATTGGTCTATAATTTGTAAATGAGCGAGTGATGTTGTGCAATTGACAAAGACAAAGAATATCAATGAAGTAAAATTCGAATTTGATTCTTAACAATTATGTTAGGAGACAATTATACTGACCATACAATTCCGATATGAAAGAACCCTCGAAAACGGAACTTGCCTTCCGTTTTTTTTAATGTAAATGAGAGAATCATGTCGTAAGACATTGTATAGTGCCCCCACCCTACACTCCATAGTCCATACCCTCATGCCCCCTCCTCTTTTCTCTTCTATAAGTGTTGCATGATTCCTTGATACTACTATATCTTATGCTAGCTACCTTTGTGTGTTGCATGTGCCATTCTCCCCCCCCCCAACTTATTTCTCACACTTCCCATTATATTTTTAGCTTTCTTCCTTCATCTCCAAAAGCTACTATATCTTATGCTAGCTTTCTTCCTTCATCTCTATATTGTAAACCCCATAACCACCATTCCACAAGTTGTGTATGCACATTTGAGAACAACAACAATATAATACTCTCCAATGGTGAGTGGTGAATCTCCCCGAGATTATTTGGTCGGGTCGAATCGAACCATTCGATCCGACCCGATTTGCACGCACGAGGAGGGGAAGAGGGCAAAGAGGATAAGGGGAGGAGGGGATAACACCCGGCACCCGGTCTACCGCGGGGTGAGGATGAGGAGCTGGGGGAAATGGGTGTCCGAAATCCGGGAGCCGCGGAAGAAATCCCGCATTTGGCTCGGGACGTTCCCGACGGCGGAGATGGCGGCGCGTGCGCACGACGTCGCCGCGCTCAGCATCAAGGGGGCCAACGCGACCCTCAATTTCCCAGATCTCGCCGGGTCGCTCCCCCGCCCTGTCTCGCTCAGCCCGCGGGACATCCAGGCCGCCGCTACCAAGGCGGCGGCGATGGTGGAGCTCGATTTGCCGCCGTCCTCCCCCTCCACTTCCTCCGCCTCGGAGGAGGTGGAGGAGCTCGGCGAGATTGTGGAGCTGCCGAGTCTCGGAACGAGTTTCGACTCGCTCGAGTTGGGAACCGAGGTCCTTTACGTTGACTCGGTGGACGGGTGGCTGTACCCGCCGCTTTGGATGGGCGGCGACGACGGCGGCGGAGCTGGGATTATTTCAGGCGGCTTCGAATCTTCTTCATTCTGGAACTATTAATGGCTCTTTTTCTTTTGGCCCTCTAAATTTTACTATCCATGGTACTAAAAGATAAAGAATTTGTATTTCTCCCCCATAAACTTTTTTATATGTAATAATAACCTCTTTAATCAGCCTCTAATAGTCTAATGTACAGTCCTAAAGAAGGAATGAACAAACTCCATAAATGATTTCCAATGCTTTGGTTGATTCGATTCTTTTGGAGTTATTTTTTTTTTGTTCAAATTTTATGAAGGGTATATTGAGAATTGTCTAGAGATGTGTAGCTTATTAGGCTCAATTTTCTTAGAGTGTGTTTGCTACATCTTATCTTATTTTATAAAAGTTCTATCCGATCTGATTTCAAATGAAATAAATTGAATAAACAAGTTATAGAAAAGATGTTTTATTGTTTTTATTTGCTATCAATAAGAATAAGTTGAACAAAACATGTTAATAATCAAAGGAAACCCGTGCACACATAGGATGTGGGTAAGTCGAATGAGAGCGAGACCCATCAGAAAAGGTGGGAATGTTCGATGGTGTGATGGGCAAGGCTTAGTTGAATCAAGTGTGGGAGACACCTCGTGCGTGATTAATTGCGGTCCGCAATTAGCTACACAATTTTTCTATCAACTCTGATAGAATCAAAGATTTATTATTTTTAAGCTTTGGTGTATGGTAAAATAAAATAAATGATTTTTTAAATCGATCATATCATGCTTCTTTTTAGTAGTGAAGTGGGACTTAGACAAGCAACTTTCGACACATCTCATAATGAGTCCTGGTGAGACCATTTCCTGCAAATACTCGAATGGTGCTTTCTCAATATAGCCTATGAGAATATGAGAACGTTTTCCTCACCAACTCTCATGGACTTAAGGAGGGGGGACCTAAGCTAGCTCTCGCGCGCCTTCTTCGGATTCCGCCTATGATCAACCTTTCGAATGAAAGAAGTAAGAAGTTAAGGGCTTTGGTCGAGTGAAAGCCTTCTTTTATAATTGTAATACATCTTAATTTCATCAGAGGCTCTGCTAATGGATCTAACGGAGTATCTACACATTAGCATAGATCTCTGTCGTGACACAATCATGCCCTTTGTTTATGTACTTAAATAAATACTTGATTGGATTGATTGCACCATTCAACGATAAAATGAACATCATCCTTTAAAAAAAGATATCTATTATGTGGGACGACATCACAACGATTGTCAGATTGTCAAGTTTTACTCCATTTTGGTGATAGTTCTTTCATCATTTCTCCTATATTTGGGATATCCATCCTTGTGAATGTTTGTCTCCTCATTGAAATATTTCGGAAAATACTTTTCACATTTTCCATTTTCATGCACGATGCACACAAAGCATATGGACCGCATGGGCCATGAATCATAAAATCGTGAACTGCATTGTAGTATGTTGGATCGGTTTAAAAAAAGCAAAATGATAGAGTGCATCCCACATCGGAAGTCCAAGAGTAAAATAATCCGGTATATAAGTTCTTGAGTTAAATTAACTAATTGATTGGATTCAATTTTTTAATGCGGTTCAACCCAAGTGTCTTATTGCCCAATCTAGTTATCCATGCTCATTCTAAATTTTATCATGGTATCAGAGCAGGTTTTAGCCCACCTCGTTTGTCAAGGTGTTCGTCTAGACGTTCATTCCTAGCGGCCCGTTAGTCTTTAGCCCAGTTGTCCATATAGAGTATGTATCCAACGGCCTGTGGTCCGTTTAACACGATTGTCCGTCTGGAAGTCCATACCCAGCGAATTGTGGTCCTTTAGGTGTTAGCACTCATAAAAAAATCAAGGGAATGAGAGTTCATTTGCAAGTGGTCAACCAGTTAGATTCAAAATGGCCCAGTTGTCCACTTGAGGGGGAGTGTTAGAGTACATCCCACATCGGAAGTCCAAGAGTAAAATAATCCGGTATATAAGTTCTTGAGTTAAACTAACTAATTGATTGGATTCAATCTTTTAATGCGGTTCAACCTAAGTGTCTTATTGCCCAATCTAATTGTTCATACTCATTCTAAATTATATCCCAAAATGTGGAGATGTGGTAAATTAAATATCTTTCGGACTGGAAAATTTATATTCTTAGTGTATCAGACAAATCTACCACCTTATGTGGCATGCTAAGAAAAATGATATTATTAGCACATACTCAGTACTCCGTAATACTTCTATACATGATATTCCTTCCGATTCGCTAGATTTTTTACACTTACTATTTATGCGGTCAAAATTATTTACTCTTTCTTTTTACATTTTTCATTTATGATTTGATAAACTTTATAGTCATATTGTATCTTGTTTTATACTTTGTAAATATTCTTATATACTACCTCCATGAGTATTTGTCCAGTTTTAACTTTTTTCTGTCATTCGTTTTCAACCTTTGACACATATTTAAATAAAATATATATTGTATACTAATTAGATAAAATAATATTTTCAAAATATTTCATATGATAAATCTAATAAAAGTATTTTTGTATCAATATCTAATACTATTTTTATTTAATTTGAATTCAAAATTTATAAATTTTGACCGAAAAAGTCAAAAGTGGAGAAATACTCAGGGACAAAAGGAGTTGTTTTTAAATTTATATAAACTGTGTTTTTAAACTTTAAACCAACTTTTAAATAAAAAAATTAAAAATAATACTACGATACCAGTTAATAGGAAATAATATAGATTATTAATTACATTCCTTATTCTCTTGTTTCTTTATTGTATTGTTACTATAGGTTTCTTCTACTATCATTAAAACTCTCTTGTAGTCACTATATATAGGGATATATATCTTCATTATTAAATAAGACCAATTATTATCAAATTGTATCATGGTACGTATCGAAGCTAAAGTTCCAATAACTTTTTAGCTCTTCCTTTTCCGACCGAGTACACCGCCGGTCTCTGTTCACAGCGGTCGACCATCCGACAGCATAGTGTCACCGAACGATCTCGACGAGCGTGCCTAACAGCCATCATCCCTTATCTCTCCTTTTCTCTCTAAAAAGTTATGAGCGTGCGTAATAGAATATAGATAGATGTGTTTTGTATAGAAAAAAGATACTCTGTAATTGATATGGATCATATATTTATTTTCTTAAAATAAAAAGGAAGAAAAGTTTAAGAGAAACTAAATATGAGAGATGGAAAATAACTATAGGACCAAAGGAGTATAACTTAGAGAGTAACTCTATTCTCTGTTTTTTATTATATACATTCTTCTTTTTAATATGATTACCAACAAAATTTAGTTTTTTCACATTGAAAATTACTACGTAAATGCGATGTTTTTTTTTCTTTTTGATGACAATAAATGGGAATATGGGTTGTTTAATTTAGGATGTAGGTGTGTGTGTGTATGTATGTCTATATATATATATATATATATATATATATATATATATATATGAAAATACAATACGGAGTATATCATATACTTGTTCTATCCCAAATTCATTTGCATTTTTCGAATAGCGTGTAAAATCTTATTTTCTTAAAAATTAGTATATCTATAATTAGTGTAAAAATAAAAGTACAAATTACTCCATGAAATAAAAGAACATCAAAATTAAGTTCTACAAAACAAAATGCGATAAGAATATTTTATTGAGTCATGCTAGGGTACACCAAATTGGGGTACCCCATTTGTACACCAGACAAACACAGATACTTAGGTCTGTGATCACAGACACTAAGTGTTTGTATTTGCCTGGTGTACCCTTAAGTTTATTTTATACGGAGTATTATTTTATTAAATGATCAATAAAAACATACTAGTGTAGTAAACTAAAGTTGTCAAGATACTCAAATAGTAAAACTTTTGCAAATTATATTGGGATAAAGAGTGTAGATTCAAATTAAATTACCTTAAAATTAACATAAAATTAGTGTTAAAAAAAACATAAAAGTCTTTGCACAGGAATTTATTGTAGAGAGGGGAAAAGGTGAGTCTGAATATTCTTGGAATATTTCTCTTTCACAACAAGAGACTACGTACAAACAATTTTAATTTTTTTTCGAATAATGCAAATCAAAGATAAAAAAAATTACTCTTTTATGACTTTGGGGGGGGGGGGGGGGGGGGGG